TGCGGATGAACGCTCCTGCCGCTTCCAAGTCTTTTCTGCTTTACTCGGTGCAGGTAGCCATGAGTGACCGAAAGGCTGTGATCAAGAATGCGGACATGTCAGAAGAGATGCAGCAAGATGCTGTGGAGTGTGCTACACAGGCCCTCGAGAAATACAACATTGAGAAGGACATAGCAGCTCACATAAAGAAGGTAAATGTTTGTAGCCTCTTCTTCGTGAAATCCCTCAGCACATCAAAAAAAATCAAGCAAGGGGGAATGTTGCTGGGCAAGTATCTCTAGAGAAACGAGCTCTGGAGACACTGGATAATCAAGCTGGGCTTTCTGCAGGCTGCTGTCCTTATGTTCCTTTCCTTGCCTCTGTCATGTACTTTTCCTGGTCCTTCCCCCTTTCTGTCACAGTATCTTCTGTTTAAGTGATTTCTTCCAGTATCTTGTTATCCAGGTGAGTAGGAGACTGGCAGGTGACCTGTCCCTGTGGCTGACTGGCTGGTAGAAAACACAGCACCTCTTTTGAGCGTTCCTACAGCTTTCCTCTAAGAGAGAGCCTGTTTGACATAGTCCTTGATTTAAACGTTGCTGAGCTTAGTGTTAAGATACTGTTCCAGGTTCTGGCCAGCTGGGTCAGGGATTGCAGGGAAAAGGCAAACTTTCTGTAATCACCACCTCTCTATAGCGGTCTGGGTAAAAAAATATTGGTGGTGCTGCTGGTCTGCTGTCCACAATCTGTGTGTTTTTATACATGTAGGAATACTAAATGAGTACTGTACTGAATATGAGAAATATTTAGTTCTGATATACTTCCTGCTTTGCCAACTCAGGAGAATGAAACAGTCTAAGAGTGTCAATGAAAGTTAAATATTAAACTGATCTGAGTGGAAGAGCTGTCTGAGGAAGGTATCACCTAAGTAGAATGATAACTAGAGAACTGTTACTCTGCTTTCCTCTTAATACAGAAAATAAAACTTTTTTTTCTTGCAGAGGCAGGGAGTATTATCTATGCTAGTGGAGAAGATAGTTTAGTCTGGAAAATTTTCGGTTGTTCTCTCTGGCAGCTACTTGTACCTTGAGGAATTGTGAGGAGGGGTGAGTTTGTAGAGGATTTGTTTGCTAGTACTGATATTAGATAGGATGTGGCAGAGGATATTGCTTTAAGAGTCTCTTTAGCACCCCTGTTGCAAATGAACATTGAAACTTAAAATAATGGCTCGGGCTGCACAGATATAGAACTAGTGATGAAAATTTTCACTGAAAGCTATGATTTCAGATCATGGCATGACTTTGGGGGAGTGAAAAAATTGCTTTGCTTGAGCATAGGCCATGTTTTAGGCTTATTCCTGCTCAGCTATGAAGCACTGTTGGGTTGTTGGTTTATTTACTTTGTTTTTGTTTTCCTTATATCTTTCTGTCTAAGGAGTGGGTGATCAGTATGATGTGTAAATAAGATAATCTCAGTACTTAAGACTAGATGCTGTTCCTCTAATTGCCTTGCACAAAAAGTTTTTTGGAGTTCTTGATTGCAAGCGCTCTCTTCTGCAGGAGTTTGACAAGAAATACAATCCCACTTGGCACTGCATCGTGGGAAGGAACTTTGGAAGCTACGTGACTCATGAGACAAAGCACTTCATCTACTTCTACCTCGGCCAAGTCGCTATTCTTCTCTTCAAGTCTGGTTAGAACTATGGACTGTTACTGAAACTTGCATCTGGTTACAGGACTGTATGCTGCCCCCTATCACACCTGTTACTTCAGCCTTCTTGAGGGTGCAGACCTTGATCTTCAAGGGTAACGTCAGGGATTTTGGTGTAGCAGTTGGTGTTTCATTGTGGCTATAAAGAAGAAAAATACCAAAAAGGTCTTCCTTGTATTTATTTTCTTTCAAAGCCTGTCATCTTTGCTAGTAGAGCTGTTGGAGCGGTTTGGCCTTTAAAAGTTTCATAGGCATCTGTTTTTTTTTCTCCCCTGTTAGTGCCTGTGCTGTGTAAGCACTGATTGTGTACTTCTTCCTGTTTCACAGAGGTCTTTTTATTTTTTTCTTCTGTTTTTGGCTGTTTTTCCCTTTGTTACGTATACTGAAAGGTACAGTCATAGCGCGTTGCAAGCCCTGAGCTGTTCTGTTGTGTTGTTTCTGTCTCTTGGCGGATCGCTTTGGAAAATAAACTACGCGGTTTACCCTAGGAGCTAGGTTATTATTTCTGGGTAGCCG